CACTTAAAAACTAAGGTTAGATTTTCCAAATTCAAAGTTTTCCTAAATGGACATAGCCAGGCAACTAGCAGCTGGTAATTTTTACAAGAAAGTACTAATTTTAATTAGTGATATTTAAGTGTGATTTTGATATTCCAAGTACAATGTTTATCTTCATGTAAAAGTTTAATTAGGTACAACTATTTATTTAACTACTAGTCTACTATGCATCAAGCAGCTGGTCAACCATTTTTTTACATATTCTTATTTTCTTTATTTATTTTGCCTCTTGGCTCATGAAAAAAAATTAAAACAATAAATAATAAATAAAAGGTATACTTTACTATTTTATCCTAATCTATTAAACGTTTCTCGAGATTTGAACACTATTAAAAAGACATAATTCTTTAATGTAAGGTCATTATTAAAAAATCACTACTATTTTTCAAGACCACAATTTCTTTACCATGGAGGACTTACCGCAAACTGCGAGAGTCCCTTTTAAAATGGATCAAGCACATATGCCCTCGCTAAGATTCAAGCACAAGAAGCTTACTTTTTGGTAATTAAAATCATTGTAAATAACTAGCTCTAGTTGTTCAGGTGCAGCTATGATTTTGGAGGCAAAGATAAGACTATTCACCTCTTTGTATATGTTTGGTGCTGAATTTTGGGATTAATACAACACCCAGGCTCTACTGGGAAATTGAATTAAAAAAAATCACTATTTTTACCATTGAAAAATGTTCAGTATTTTTTATACTTACATTATAATTGAATTGATGAGAAAAGAAAAAATAGTAGTGTTTTCATACGGAAAAAATAGAAATTTTTTCGATATTTCAGTAAAAATTTGTATTTCACCTTGTATTTTCTTAGTGACCTAACACGATGGAAAAGATCTAATTTAGCCACCTAAAATTGAGCAAAGCATTTTTGGATTGAGATTAAAGACAAATTCAAAATTTCAATTTTATAGATTCTGAATTTTAGAACAACACTTTTAAATGTTAGTAATTAAATTCTAAATTTAATATATTATAAAAATGAGAGAAGATTAAAAAAGTTGGTAGAGTTAAGTAACCAATCTTTGCGTTTAAACGTGTCGTATAGTCTAAACAATCCCATGAATGTTACTCCCTATGTACTCATTTATGACATATTTTTTGTTTTTTCAAGATTTAAACAGTTTAAGTTTGATCGGAAATTTGTACATAAAATTTTTATTTTTTTTGAAATGAAATTTTTATATTTATAAACTACGTTAAAAGTAGTATAAATTACAATATTGATAATTCAAAATGTTTAAAAAATCTATGAAAAATTTACGGTCAAAGATAGACTTGTTTGAATCTCGAAATTCAAAAAGTGCCACATAAAATGTAACGGTGGGAGTATCAACATTAAGCATAGATCTTATAATATAAATAAGTCTTCCATGCATCAAATATTAGTTGTGAAACAAATAAACAACCTCAATTCTCTCATAACACCACACTAATAAAAACATTACACTATACAAAAAACACAAAAGTTCCAATGGATTCTATTGTTTCTGAGCTTGAAGGAGTTCTTTTGAAAAACCCTAATCCCTTTTGTTACTTCATGTTATTAGCTTTCGAGGCATCGGGTGTAGTTCGATATGCTCTTTTACTAATGTTATGGCCAATAATTCGATTCCTCGAATTTTTAGGGAGAGAGGAATACGGATTAAAACTTACTATTTTCGTAGCCACGATAGGGGTAAAAATATCCGAAATTGAATCAGTGTCTAGAGCTGTCTTACCTAAGTTTTATTTTGATGATATTAATATGGAGGCATGGAGGATATTTAGTTTGTATGATAAAAAAGTTGTGGTGACTAAAATTCCAAGAATTATGGTTGAGAGATTTGTGAAAGTGCATTTAAGATGTGATGAAGTTGTTGGTAGTGAACTTGTTGTTAGTAAATATGGATTTGCAATTGGATTAATTAAGGATGATTTTGACAAGATTAAAGATGGGATTATTGAATTATTTGGTGATAAACAACCAAGTTTAGGTCTTGGTAGACCAAAATGTGGTTCTTCCTTCTTTTCTTTGTGCAAGGTAAGTACACACAAACCTATTTTTTTTGGTATTTTCTTAGTCTTAGATCTCAATAACTACCTTATGTTATTTCTTTCGCTTCGGTTATCTTTTTATCGGGTTGTTATTAATTTCTGTTTGATATATTGAAGTTAAACTCGTAAATATAGTAAAGGATTTAACTATATTATTAATAAGCGGCTAGTTAAAAGCAGTCAACTGTTCGTCGACATGTCTGTTTCTAGTCAATGGTATTTATGAAAATTCAACTTTTCAATTTAATCGTCTTACTTTTCTTTTTAATCTATTATATAAAAGTACTAAACTTACAATAATTAACAATTTAAAGATTCAATTGACTCTTTAAATTTCATTTATGTCATATAAATTGAAATTAAAAAAATAATGTATATAAAATAAGATTGTAAGAAAATCTATGAATTGAACTTATATATATCATATTACTTTTACTTCTTGTTGCAGACTAGCATGAAATCTGCTTACTTTTCAAGATTATAAATTTTTCATTTTATAAATATCTTTTGGGTGAACTAGTGATGTAAAAATTATTTATATTAACGATATCTATAAGTTAAACTTAAATCTATGGATAAATTTAAATCAACTGATATATATAGCACATAATCTGCCATATTTTCTAAGTCACTATTCTTATTTTATGTTAGAAAATATGAAATATTATGTGCTATATATATCAGTTGGTTTAAATTTATCGATATATTTAAGTTTAACTTATAGATATCGTTAAAATAATGATTTTTTACCTCACTAGTTCAAATGATCTAGCTCATAGTGTATTTTAACTCATTTTTAAAATGTTGTATGGAACAGGAACAATTACAACCACCATTTTTGAGAAGCAAAAATCAAAACCAACAACAACAACAAATTATTATCAATCCATTACCAGTAATTTTCCATGATGGTCGACTTGTTATTCGACCAACACCATTTTTAGCCCTAATAATACTTTTATGGATTCCACTAGGCATTATTATAGCTACAATAAGAATTCTCATTGGCTTAATATTTCCAATATGGTCAATTCCCTATTTAACACCTTTATTTGGTGGCAAAGTCATAGTCAAAGGAAATCCACCATTACCGCCATCATCATCAACTATCACTATCACCAATCCAGGCGTACTATTCGTCTGCACTCACCGCACCCTCATGGACCCTGTCATCCTCTCAACCGTACTCCAACGTAAAATCCCGGCCGTAACCTACTCAGTCTCCCGACTCACCGAGGTCCTATCCCCGATACCGACTATACGTCTGACGAGGGTTCGAAACGTGGACACGTGGAAAATCAAACATCAGCTCGAAAAAGGAGATTTGATCATGTGCCCTGAAGGGACAACATGTAGGGAACCGTTTTTATTGAGATTCAGTGCACTTTTTGCGGAACTAACCAATAGTATTGTCCCAGTGGCCATGAATTATAGAGTAGGGTTTTTTCATGGAACAACAGCTAGGGGATGGAAAACTATGGATCCAATTTTTTTCTTGATGAATCCTAGACCAATTTATGAGGTAACATTCTTGAATAAATTATCAGAAGATGCCACGTGTTCATCTGGGAAAAGTCCACATGATGTTGCAAATTATGTGCAAAGAATTTTGGGTGAAACATTAGGATTTGAGTGTACAAATTTTACAAGAAAAGATAAGTATAGAATTCTTGCTGGTAATGATGGAATTGTATTAACAAAAAATTCTAACACTAATTATGGGATTAAGAAGTTGATTAACACCTTCATAAATGTGGTAGGCACAAGAAATAAGATGATTATTGAGATACTTTATTTAAGTTTATTATGTTTTTTTTTGTTGTACAAATTGAAGGAGGGGTTTGCATTCTTTGTCTTTTTTTAATGTTCTTTTAATTTTTTTTAAGGAAATGTTGAATAATATATTGGATTATAATTGCTTTATATATGGCTAGGGTGTGAATTTTATTTATTTCTACTATTTTTCATCAAGAGAGAGATCTTGTTTTGTTATTCTTTTTTTATCAATTGATGTTGTTATTTTCTTTAACAGTTTTTGTTTCCTATTTAACTACGTGAATAAAATTAGTGAAATTGATAATAAATAATTAACGTATTTTGTGATAAAATATTAATAATAAGTTGTTCTGTTTATAAAATAATTAAAATATTCTTAATTTATTTGTACAAATTTATAATTATAGAAGTTTCCTTGTAAGGAATAGAATGAACAACAAATTAATATGAAATGAAATGAAAAGAAAGTGTGAGATTCTTATCTAAAAAAGGTATTTTGAGAATTAAAAATATATTAGAAACAAATTAATGAGAAAGTTTTAATCTATTTATAAGGTGAAAAAAATCATTTTTTTCAAACTATCTACCTATTCCATCGATCTTATTCAACTATCTTGATAGTCGTGAAAAAAAAAAGGGAGATAATAACACGAACTACAACAAATTTATCATTATATAATATGACATATTAATTTCCAATGTTTCATAATAATTAATTCAACATGATATAATAAAATAACATTCTCCCCCATATCAGTTTATATGACATATACTTTTTTAATCAATCCTAAAAAAGATACATTTCCTTATTTAACATATATTTAATAATATTATCATTTATTTATATATAATATATCCACTTAAATCCCAGTATCCCACTTATTTTACAAAATATAACCCATAAAAATATACATTTTTAAAGTTAAAATATTACAAAATCTCTCAGTTAAAGAAATAAATATATATAAACAAGTAGATAATAAGTACCACCAACCATCCAAACTGTTAAAAAGTAAACAGATTTGGTTAATTCGGCCGGAGTCGGACCTTTTGCATGCAAACGACGTCGTTTCATATAGCAAACCCGACATTCATAAACCATTTTTTTTCTCTAATTTGAAGACACAAACATTTTAGCGTTGGCGTTCGAGTCCAATTTCTGGATCTTTCTAGAGTCGACTCGTTCGCTCATAATCGATCAAATTTGATAAATTTGTTCTGTGTTTCGATCAATCGCCATTAATCAAGCTTGTAAGTAATTGATCTTCGCTCTCTCTATCTAAAAATGTTGTCCATTTTTGTATATGTTAGCATATATGATTCATTTAGATGCACCGACAATTTTGTAATCTTGTTGAATTTACTTTTGGATATGCATTGGTTCTGCTGGTATGTTAATTAATTTTTTGAGTTGTTAAAGTTTAGTTTGTTCTCCTCGAAATGATGTAATCTGAGCGAATTTCAAATTTTCAGCTGCTTATTGATGAATTTTGGGGGTTTTAGGCGGAATTATATTTTGATTTTTAGTTGTACAGACTGTAATTAACATTAAACATGTTGTAAAAATTGATGTTGTGAGACTCTTAAAAAAGCTTACTTTTTTTGTTGTTGTGGGAAGTACAGGGATTCTAACTTGTTTCTGATTTTTATACATTATGATTACATGGGTTCTTATATTGTATTGACAAAAAAGGAGACTTTTCTGGTAAAGAGGATCTCTAGCTGCCAATTATGAGTCTCTTAGTATGCAAGTTTTTTTTAGTGTAACCCTAAGGGTGTGGCTTAGTGGTGAATGAAGTGGGTTAAGAATCATGAGATCTCACGTTCAAATTTTAGTAGAGACGAAACACTAGGTGATTGCTTTCTATCTGGCCTATCTGTTGCTGGTAGGAGGCGATATGTATCCTGTGGAATTAGTTGAGGTGAGCGCAAGTTAGACAACACAGTTATACTAAAAAAAACGTCTTTTAGTGTATGATATGAATTGTATGAACTCATGTATACTATGAGTGCAATGCTAATACTACGTGGTTTACTTGGTCCCTCGTTCTCTATAACATTGGAAGTCAATGTGAATGTCCTTCCTGCTGCTATCGTCAGCTTACATTTACTCCATTTTAGACCTGGAGCCTGGAGGTATTAAATATGCTCGAGCTTCGCTGGTGTTGGAAAATACATTAGCATGGCTCTGTTGTTAGATGATGGCTGCGAGGGAGGATAGAAGACAATGTTATTCAGTTAGTCAGTTAGGGGTGTTGTCAATTGGGGAATATGTGTATACATGCAATAAAGCCGAGTTAATGTACATACGCTACTCCTCTAACATGAATGAACACATTCTCTCCTTTTCATCCTGTGTGAAGGTGTTTGACTGACGTGATAGTTTAGACGAGTATGTACAGTATATAAATGGTATGCAAGAAGAGTAAAGCATGTATAATACCAATTTTCTACACATATACATGTCCCCTGCTCTATTTTATGTGATACTTTTCTTTTTAGTCTGTACCAAAAAAATATGACACCTTTCTTTTTTTGAGAACAATTTACTCTTAGCATCCCCATTTTACCCTTAGTTACATAAATGAAGACGTTCCCTTTCTTCTCAGTAGTTTTTGTCCCAAGTCCATACTTTGTTTCTTCTTGTGAATTGCGCTATTAATCTTGAGAAAATTGCCAAATGCGCCCTCAATCTATTAGCCAATTTTCAATTACACACTTAAACTTCACGGGAGTCCAATTAGCCCCCTAACCTTTTATTTTCGGAATTTTGTAACCCTTAAACGCTGATCTGTCCAAGAAGGTGAATACACCTGTTGGAAGTCCGTAAGGGTTGATGGAGAAGTCTAAAATGGCTAAAGTTGAATTAAATACTCCATGTGTCAGTTTCTAGTTGGAGATTGTGAAATTAATTCTTTTTTTTTTCAATCTTTTAAATTTCTCTTTTTCCTTTTTTAATATCACAAAATCATCATACTCATTTCATGGTTTCTTCAAGCTTTTCTCGAAGTCCTTCAAAGGTGGTTCTCTAAATTTCATTAACGTTGATCAATTCCCACACAAGTCCGATGAAACTCAGAAACACAGCGATGAATATGTTGAAATGGGCTGTCGGAGTGTTGAATTTGAAGCAATTGAAGAACCTGTAAGAAGCAAAATTGAAGAGTAGCTTCTGTATTTTCCGCTGGCTTTTCGATGTGAGGAATCGGAAGTTTGACAAAATTTAGGGAAGGGGCAAGATTTATGGGAAGTTTTGGGAGATGTTCAATGTTTCTAGGAGTAGAAATTAAAGGAAACTTTGTGACCCATTTGAGCTACGAACTTCGAGAGATCTATATGTAGAATCATATAGCCAAAGTCAGCCATGAAAATATTGCAATATGCAACTTTTTGCCATTTACCACTATTGTTTTGTGATAAAAGTAACTGGCGGCACTTCATGAATTTCAAGAGATCAAATGGAAAGGAAAGAAATATAAATCAAATGAATATACTCTACATCAATGGTCGCTCCGGCAAGCAAGGAAGAAATCAAATAAAGAAGAAAACAAAGAGAGAGAAAAAAAGGAAAAGAAAAAAATATTAAAATTGTATACACAGTGTAAAGGTTATGACTTTATGAGAGATAATTTTTCTACTTTAATGTAGTTCAGCGGGTTAATAGGACTCCATGATGTAAAGGTGTGTAGTTGGTAATGGGCTAATAGATTAGGTGGGGTGGGGAGGCAGGGCATTTGGCTATTCTCATTAATCTTCAGTTATGACAGTTCGCTTTAGTGTTGTCTTCTTAAACAAAGTGTAGTGGGTTAATAGTTGTACTGGAGAAGTTTCTCACTTTGCTATTCTCTGGATTTTCAGTTAATTCAAGCTCTTCAGTGGGATTTGGTTGCTGGACCTTCTATCTTGTACAACTCCAAACATGAGTTTTGTTTTCCGAGGTGCTAGAGCAGATATAGAACCTGGTTTTCCAGGATTGATCCCTGAGCGCCGTGCAGTGGTAGTCTCCTACATCTCCTTTTAATAATCTTGGTCTTGGTTGCTAAATCCTTCTAGTGCTTGTTACATTTGTTATACTTATGTACCCTTACTTTCTTCCTTTTCCATATTCAGCGAGTCCATGCTGGCCGTCCAGTTAATACTAACTCACTAGCTTTTCTTGTCACAGGTACCTCTAGCTTATATCAATTTTTTCTATTATTTTTTTGTCATGTGTTTTATTTACCTAGATCTTTCAATGTAACCACTTTGTTGTGACAGTGCTCTTGCTGTTCATGATTCTGAATTCTCATCAAATGTCACCGAACTTTCTGGTTAGTGGTCTCTTAAAGAGTGATATCAGATTATGTGTGATTGAATTAAATCTGGCCCTTATTTTGATTATGTGGAACTTTGTGTGTTTTGGCTTAAATCTACCTTGCAGCTGTGGTTGGTGCTTGGTGTCTTCTTCATGGCAACAACCCTAAGGATGTATGCAACATGTCAGCAGCTTCAAGCCCAGGCACAAGCTCACGCTGTTGCTGCAAGTGGCCTTCTTGGTCCTACAGAGTTGCGGCTGCATATGCCCCCATCACTAGCACTTGCAACCAGAGGACGGTTGCGAGGCCTCAGACTACAGCTTGCACTTCTTGACAGGGAGTTTGATGACTTAGGTGACAATGCATGCATCTCTGATCTTGAGCGTTTTCTGGCTTTTTGAAAATCCAGAAACCAAAACTTATCTTGTAATGATCTTAAAAGGTGTGGGAAGTTTATTGATATTTTTTGGTACTAGCAGATTATGAAACGTTGAGGGCACTGGATTCTGATGATGCTCCTACAACCCCATCAATGACTGAGGAAGAGATAAATGCTCTTCCTGTTCACAAGTATAAGGTTTCTGGACCCCAAAGGTCTGTCATGTTGATTTCATTTCTAGTTTTTGCTTCTGCACCCTTATGAGTTCTCAGCTTTTGATATATCAATTTAACTCCTAAATCAGTTTACGTCTTCTTCCTCTCTTCTTTGTTAATTTCCATCTGTGGCTTGTGATTAATGGAATTGAGGAGGTTATTGTCAGTTTTAATCAGTTTCTGAAGATTACCGAACCATGGTGTCAACTTGTGATGATTTTTTAGGTTGCTGGTGTGCTTTGATTTGGTCATATACATGATGGAATTTATTAACTACATAATTTTGTATTATATGTAATCCTAATGTATAATTTCTGCACAGCGAGCTATGTTATTGAGTGCTGATGTTCTTTCATTTTGCATTTTCTTGCTCTGTAGTGGAAGTTTAGGAATTTTATATCTCAATTTCTCCGATGAAGTTGAGGACAATATTATCTGTATGTCAGTTCTGTCTCTTTTTTTGTGATGGGGATTCCCTTCCTCGTAATATGGTTTGCAATAATCTTGTTATAGATCAGTGTATAACTGTATATCTGTTGGTACTGTGCCATGTCTCTCCTTTTAGTAATATCTTGGCTTCTCTTGATCCTGATGACTGCTCTTCTTGGCAGTGCTGGTACATCAACACACCCAACATCTTCTTCAGGGTCCACTGAGGTACCTCATTTTCTAGCCCTTTCTCGAAGCTTGTAAAAGAGATGCCTACCCAATTGATTGTCTTTTGGAGTTGTTTTTGACTTTTCGCATTCTAGTGTCCTTTTCGTTTGCACAATTGATTTGCAGGAACAGTGTTTACATGATTTATCTATAAGACACAATGTGATGATCCGTCCTATTTTTACTACTACCTCCAATTCATTTTATGGGGCAATGTTTGACTTGCGCGGAGTTTAAAGGGAAAAAAGAATATTTTTGGAACTTATGTCTTAAATGTGCCATAGACATTGTTTTGGTTGTAAAAGCTTGTCATTGAGGGTAAAATGGGACATATAAAACGATGTTTCCAATTATAGAAATTTTCCATTCTTTTCACAACAGACTTACAGACTAAAAACGAAAGAGTGAGTGCCACATAAAATGGAATGTAGGGAGAATGACTTTTTGGGTAAGTTCCAAATGTCTTCACCATAATGTATGTTTAGATGACAAATTGATTCTTATCCAGTGACACCATAGTGTATACGCAAAATTAAATTCTAATATTAAAGAAGTGTTTCACCTGCATTCAAGTGAACTATTGAGTTCATTTCATGTTTTAGTGTAGATGCTGATCCCATGCTCGTTACCTTGAACAGACCCTAAGCTGTGTCCCTAAACTGGCCAATTCTGATTTTTCCTTTTGCGATGTCTTTTTCCTCCTCATATTGAAACTAGTCTTTCTAAAAGGCACCTCCAGAGATGTTAGAGCTCATATTAGAAAAGAAAGTATAATAAGAGCCTCGTGGAAGAAGTTCTCAACCTTAGGTAGGAGAGTCCCGACTCTATGAGAATTGTTTTCATTACTTCATATTCTGAGGTTCTTCTCCTCAACTCAACCATAAACCAAAAATCTCAAAAGATTGGAGGACAATTTGTTCTATGACTATTTAAGCATATAGCAATGAAGCTCTTTCTTCATCTAGAGAATAAAAAGATAACCATCAAAGAAGGAATAAAAAAGAGGAGTAAATTTGAAGGAGACATAAGCTTCATAAATACAACAGAAGACAAATTACCTTGCTGCATTGGCATCCTTCATTGTTGATGAAATAAAAATCAAGTCATGTCAGCGATCTGCATTATCTGTGCTAGACTCATTTATTATTTGCCTAATGTAGTTGTGAAAACTTCATTTTTTTGTCACAAGAAATGTAAGTAGTTTATTATTGTATTTCAAGCAGAAGAAGCAAGAACCTGCAAATGCTGTAGGAGTTACAAAGAACTCAGATGACGAACTAACTTGCAGTGTCTGCTTGGAGCAAGTCAATGATGGTGAACTCATTCGTAGCTTGCCTTGCTTACATCAGGTTAAGTATTTTGATAGTTACGTTTATTCTTGTGGTAGTCTTCTATACATGCAAGTATAATAGTATATCACACATTCTTACCTTCATAAATCCCTTTTTGAGCACATTTCCATAGATCAATAAGATTTTTTGTTTCAATTTAATTAGTTAGTATCGACAATCATCTCAACTATTTGGGAGCTCACTTCATTATTCAAGTGTATTAGACAAGAAAATATTATGGTTTAGTTACCTACATGGTCAGGCATCTAGAAGAACTTGTAGAAAGTCTTGCATAGAGAACCGCTAAATATCATCTCTTTCCGTCTTTTTAGGGGTGTGGGGGAAAAGGAATGGGGTGGTTGTTGAGGATAAAAATTTGCCTAATTTAACCTTCTAGCAGCGAAGTTAGTAAAGTTCAGTATGATTATTTGGACATAATCTTTCAGAGAAGTTACATACTTTCAATTTTTATCTTTGTTTTTGCAGTTCCATGCAAACTGCATTGACCCATGGCTACGGCAGCGGGGAACTTGCCCTGTCTGCAAATTTAGGGCCGGGTCCAGGTGGGATGAGAATGGACTAGGAGGAGAAGATGCTTATGATATGGTGTAGTTTCAGCATCGATACACACATACATATATATAGCCTGTATCGTCAAACGTCTGTTATGGCACTCTGCAATTGTGCAAACTAGCAGAAATATCTCACATTAGTAAATATTAGCTTAGTCTTAAATTTTATCAGGATACAGAGGCGGGATCCCTCGTTCGAGGTACACAGCCCATGAGCCTGAACAATCGTTTCGTCAAATGTGTCTGTTTCCTCCCATCATTGTATTGTACTGAAAAATCGTATCTGGAAATTTTAGCTGTGTCAAGAATGTTTGTCACATTTATCATCAAATTGATCCTTCTGTCTACTCATGTTGCTTAAGCTTCGTTATGTTTTTAGTTTGATTTGAATCTAGTGTTTTTACCCTCAAGAGATATGACTAATATATTTTGTTTTGATACTATCAAATCGATCAGTTTTGCCTTTGAGCCCATTTCTTATGTGTATGAGGTTCAAGGCGTAGCAGATGAATCAATGTGAATGAGTGTAAGGCTAGTGGCGAAACCAGAATTTTCAATAAGGGGGGTTCAAAATCTGTAATAGACAGTCAAAGTATTCGCAGGAGGTTCGACATCTACTATATATACATAAAAAATTATATAAATAAGATAATTTTCGATGAACCCCTTAGTATAAGGTGGCTCTGCCCTGGTGTAAGCTTTGTTGCCTGGACACACTATTGGTGCTGACCATACTAGGTGTTACTGTGGTCAGAGGCGAGCCAAGGTTAGAAATTTGGGGGTTCTAAATCAATTTTTTTTTTTGGGGGGGGGGGGGGAGTTCACATGCAAATATACATATATTTATTTAATTTTCTAATACAAATATAAGGTCTACAAAAGGAAGAACTCATGAACCCCGTCTAGTAGCAAGAGAGGCTAATCATTTCAGTTAGTTCTTTACAAGCTCAATAAAAGACAATTTAATATAAGGAGAACAAATGACTTTTTCCTAATCAATGAGAGACTTTCGTCTTTCACATCATCACATAAAACAAGAAAATAATTGAACCATAAGAATTTTTTATTCTTTTGTATTATGCTTCCTATGACCTATGTTATTGTTCCACTTCAAATATTGTAAATTCACCTATTATTAAGTTAAAATAAATGTTTTTTTTCGGTATTTTTCGTTTTTTTTTTCCAACTAACTCAACACAGTTTGATCTGTTCAAATTCAACTCAATCCATCTATTTAACACCTTTAATTTGTATCATTGAACTTTGGTATGAGTTGATGCACCACCTAAAAATATTCTTCACAATATTTCCGTTCAGATGCATGAATTAGTCCTTTTCACGTCACTGGGGTATTACGTTCTTTCATCATTATGTTAAGACTTTAGTTTATTGATTAAAAAATAGAAGTTTATCTGGAAGACTTTATTAGTATCATAAAATTATGTTTTATATTAATATTAATCGTTAATACAATAATTCGAGGTTTGATTCATTGTTCTGAAAATCATGAATAAATATCAAATCAGAGACATTATATGTGAAGAGGAGGTGTTTGAATGTCCCAGTGCGGAGGTATGAAAGACTGCCTATAGATAATATTAATTATTAAGAGAGGAAGAGGTAGATCGAAGAAATATTGAGGAAATGTGATTACACAAGACATTATGCAGTTCAAACGTTAGTTAGGAGGTTATGGAGATATAGATTAGCGTAGAAAGTTAGTAGGTTACAATGCATTGTCTTGTTATCCGTCTATACTAGTAATTATAGTATTGCTCTTGTAGTTTCTGATTCTTCGATTTCCGTTATTATTTGTTGTCTTGTACTTCAACTATCTTATGATTTTGTTGTAGTTACTTTCTCGTTACTATTTGATTTATTTTTTTGGTATATCTGTTATTTTTTGTTCTTGTATTATTATTTTTTCTGAACTGTTTTTCCCTTGAGCCGAGGATCTATTGAAAACAACTTCTTTATCCCTAATATAGGAATACAATTTACTTATACTCTATTTGTAGGATAATACTGAACCAATTTGATAAGGACTAGATCACAAGGACTAAAATTTGATAAACAGTAACTAGATCACATGGACTAAAAAATTAATTTTATCAATATTTCTAGGACAAATAGTGAAAATTACCATAAAAATAAAATTGAGAAAAAAAAGGACAATTTAGTTTCTAAATTAAGAAAGCTAAATAGCAAGCATATATATAGGGCACTGCCTATGAATTTAATTTTCTGTTGCTGTCAATTTTCTCAGCGAGATTTCTGGGCTATCTTTTTAATGCAAAAAAAATTCAAAATTTGATTCTTTTACCTATGTTTGGTTCCCGACTAATTCAAATTTGTAATGCACAAGACTTGTTAAAATTGCTATGATGTATAATTTCACAAAGTGAAGTTTAAAGAGCGGAGAGTATATGTAGACTTTACTCCTACCTAGGGGTTTCAAGATTTTTTTTTATTTCCGAGAATAAAATTTGAAACCTCGTATTAATGGTGAAGGTTTGCAATATGTTTACTTTCATTCGATTAGAAAAACAATATTATTTTCAATCTTTTATGGAGAATTTTGAAATTTTTACCTTTAAACATATTACACTTTTCTGATTTACACATGCTTAAAGTGTAAAAAAATTTTATTTTTTTAATGAAATTGATATTGTTTATACGTTACTCCAATCATTACTTTTAATTTTTGAATTAATTGTACGCTCAAATATTACGGCTCTTTTGTGAAAGTTTAATGCATTGAATTCGTCTTAATTAGATAATCTATAATAATATCTTAAAAACATGAATTTCTTATAGCTATGAATGTTAAATTATTATAATACCTCCGACTATTTTGTTGTGATTGTTTTGATGAATTGTGATTTTTTTTTGAAGGATTGTGACTTTCTGAAGGGTTGTGATTTTTTTTGATAAGACACGATAAACACTTGTTGATAATGTCTTTTGTTAATTGTTAGCTATAAATAAAGTGGTTTCCTCTAACTTTTAAACTATGCATGTTTTTAATTTTCTACTCTTCTTCCTCTAACTTTTGTAGTCATTGAGTGAGTTTGAAATTCATCAAAATTTGAGGTACCACTATTCTTCTTTGATATACACGTGAAGGAACATTTTGATGCAATAGTTAATTGGTCTTAGATATACATGTGCAACACACGTTTCTAAAATTTAGTGTATATAAAAAAATGATTTGACATGACCTAAAATTATAGGGAGATTTTAAAAAAAATCAAGTGTAAGTATCTATCAAAATTGGTCATGGCTAGGTGTGGACGAGGAAAATCCAAGTTAATTTCAACCTTGAGGACATACAAGTTGAGGACGTATACAAAGCTACAAGCTATGAAATGGGGTAAAAATAAATTGATTTGACATACCAATATATATAATTGTCCTTTCAAGACATGAAAGAAAGGTTGTGAAATCAAAAATAGGTTTCTCATAAGAATCCTTAGGTTATTATAGCTAGCCTTAATTTATTAATTTTCTTATCGGTGTTGATTTTCTATCTGGTGTTTGGTATCCTCATTGCAGCTCGAGTAATTCAAAATTACGTGTGTAAAATCTATTGGGGAGGTAGTGTTTTCTATCAAGAATATGATATTATTAGTAGTATAGGGTTTAGTAATAAGAAAAATCATTTTATGCAGGTATTAGTTATGCAATTGCAACATTTAGTTATTCATGTATTAGTTAATCTGCTTTTTACATTGCAGGAAATAATATATAAATTTTTCTCATCACTTATTACGCACGTTTCTTGATATAACTTACGTAAAATTTAATATCGATATAATTCACCTCCAAATCAACCACGATCAAAAAAGTGATAATGCTATCCCTACATGAAACAAAGTAGCGTGGATATTTAGAGAGCATAAGACATTCGTCAGTTAGTTCAGTGTTGGCGTAGAAAGCGGAGAAATAATTGAAGAGTATCGTCTAAAGTTGTGGTAATATTACTCCGATCTCGAATTTCAGCTCTGAATATATATTCTTCTTTAACAAGAAGCACTTTACTACCTTTAATGAAAATTTTCGATACGAATTTGAATTAATAATGTCCAAAGTGGGTGTCCATACACCAAATGAAAAAATAATACTCCCTCCCTTTTATTTTGTTAAAAAAATATCACCTTATTATAATTAGAGATAATCTAACTGTAAAATTTTCATTTTATCGTTAATGATCTAAGAATCATGTCATACCACATATTTTTAGTTTTTTCTTTTTTTATATTTGATATTAGATTAAACGATACCACATAAAATACGACGGATGGGGTAATAATAATTGAAGAATCCGTACGGAAACGAGAGGATATGTGAAGAGTTGGGCTTTGGGTATCTGAACATGGCCCTCCCCACTACCCCGTGTTTCCCTCTCCCCGCCCCCATCATTCATCAATGTCTCTGTCTTTTAACTTTTCGAGATTTTAATTTGATAAGTTTAATTTTAAGAAAGTTAAAAAAATAAATTTTATGATCTTAAATTAAAAATAGGTAAATTTTGAGTAAGTATACACTTAAACTTGTATAAAATTGAATAAGAAGTAGACATATGAGTCTTACGTGACATAATACACGTAGAATGTCATATAGGACTCAAATTGCCAAGTAGGATGTTGTGTAGGACGCGTGTGTCTATTGATTCAATTTTATACAAGTTTAAGCATCTATTTATGCACGTCTAAAGTTGGAAGGCATAGATGTGAGGTGAAATCAAGTTTAAATATTTTCTAAATATTATCCTCTCGCCTCCTCCTTCCCAATAAATTGTTCAAGTTTCAATTAATAATCTAATACGTGTTGTAGAATGTTAGAGTAGATTAAAGTTTCACTACATTAATTAAAGAGTGAATATTTCTATGACAATTATATTAGATTCAAAATTCATTTCTTTTAACATTACGAATGGTCCACTAATACACATTAGTAATTTAGCTTTTGATAAAGACATTAGACTGTATTTGATTAGACTTGTGTTGACCTTGCTATTAGCTGGATTTACCTAGGATTTCATATATATATATATTTTATTTATTTTTTTAATTTTTTTTTTTGTATATATATATATGACATGTTTTAATAGCAAAAAACATTTTTCAATACATTAAAGTTGAAAGTTTGAAAAAAAGTTTCTTTTACGTTGTTAAACTTTATGAATATTTAGATAAGATATATAAAATGAAACTGAGAAATATATAGACTAAGTCGTGGTAAAAATATTTAATTATAGTATAATTTTGAAACTATTTGGTACAATTTGTAATAAGCAG